TGCTACCCCCTTTAGTTTCGCCCTGACTGAAACTCAAGACCTCAAAACCCCAAACCTTAAGCCCGAACGCCGCAAGCCCGAGCTGAGCAGAAACAAACCAAACCCAAGGATAACGAAAACAGTTTAGACACCAGGGCTTCCGGCTTTAGGGCTTTAGGGTTTAGGGTTTAGGGTTTACTCTTTATATAGTTCTAAACCACTCCAGCTCTCCAAAAAAACAAATACCGCAACCACCCACACCCTAAGACCTAAACCGCTTTAGACTCCCAGACACCTCGACCCCCATAATCGAACCCCCAATCCCCTAAACCAAAACCCCAAACCGAAGCCCGAAACCCGAAACCCGTCCTAAACCCTAAATCCTAAACCCTACACCGAAACCCTGAACCCGAAAACCTAAACCCTAAACCCTAAACCGAAACCCTGAATCCGAAACCCTAGCCTTAACCCTGAACTGAACCACCAGAGCCATGGGCCTTGACTTCGAATTCCTGAGCCTTTAAGGCATCCTCTGGGCGGAAGAAGTCCTGTGTGGACGGGGATTTCGAGTTTCGGGGTTTTCTGTGGGTTTAGTTTCTGGTTTAGGGTTTAGTTTTTAGTTTAGATTTTAGGGTTTGGCTGGTTTTGGGTTAGGGTAGGGTTTAGGTTTTGAGTTTAGGGTTTAGGGTTTAGTTTTTAGTTTAGGGTTTAGGGTTGAGGGTGTAGGGTTGAGGATTTAAGGTTTAGGGTCTGGCTTAAGGTTTAGGGCGTAGGGTTCATGTAGATCAAGCTCTTGGGGATCATGGAAATTTATGGGGATGATGAGGTATATGAGTACTATAATCTATTATGATGATATGATATACTCCAAACCCTATTCTAATTGTTAAGGCCCCTATGTTGCTGTCATCCTGAACCCCCGACCCCTGACAGCCGAAATCCTGAGGCCTGACCGGCCCTAAACCCTCCAAGTGCTTCAATGGTTTAGGGTTTAGGGTTTCGGGCTTTGGGTTTCGGGTTTCAGGGATTCCAGTGGCCGATGGATGCCTTGCTTAACTTACCGGCTGCACATTACATTCGCAATAAAACCGCAACTGCAATCTTGTAAACATAAAAAAACGTAAACTTCACATGGCCTACACATTTGCGCTTCGCCGTCGTATAACACACCCCAACACTGTCGAGCTTCGGGAGAGTCGCTGACCCTGAAAAAATGTCCGCAAATTTCGGCATCGGCCGTCTGACTGTGAGAGCGGGTGCTTGCAGGATCGGAGGGGGCTGGCTGAAGTGAGCTCCTTGGATGGCTGCCCTACTGATAGCTTCGGGCACTGACCCCCGGATTCTCCAAGCAAGGGTGTAGCGATGAGGAACTCCGAACCCTAAAACCCAAAACCCGAGCTCCAGCCTCCAATACCCACACACCCTCGACAGTTTCAGAGTGTAAGGACGGACAAGTCCTTCGCCTCCTGCCAGTACGGAGGCACCACCGACCTCGCAGGAACAGTCTCTTCGCCCCGTGAGGGTTCATGCTCAAGAGCTCCTAGTTTCTAGGGATTCCTGGGTTTAGGGTATGTTTAGAGTTTAGGGTATAGGGCTTAGGGTTTAAGGGTTTAGGGTATATTTAGAGTATGGGGTATATTTAGAGTATAGGGTTTAGGGTTTATATAGGGTTTGTGTGTAATTAGAGTTTATGGTTTTTGACTTCATCTCAGCTTTCATTTCGAGTTGTTAACGAATGGGAACACCCGCGCCGAAGCTCCATGAAGACCATGGTGAACCCCTCACGCATGTTAACGTCGTTCCTCAGAATCTGGGGTCTCTGGCTTTACTCCGCTTAGAATCTACAACGGGTCGACATTATGGTCTCGTATTGTCCGAGACTGCCGAAAGTTCGTGCTACAACGCTCGGAGCGCGACCGAGAATATCCACCTGCGCAGAACCCGTATAGACAGCAAGACCTGAAGGCACGCACCCAAAACGAAGCCTGAAATCTAACTCCTACACTACACTGCTTAACCAACACTGAATCCTTCGACTAAATCCGAATGAAGACCCCCGCCTCTAAACCGCCATGTGGACCCCTCATCAACAACCTCCCTTCCCTTTAACTTAGGAGACTTTGATAGGGATCCTCATATTTACGGTCTTGACTAAAAGGGGTTTAAGTTTAGTAATCAGGCGTCGACATTCACAACACCTTGATGCCCCCTTGCAGAACTCTGATATGAACCCTTACCGAAGCCTTATAATCCTAAACCCCTAAACCTAGGCTCTAAGCCCCTGAACCCTGAACCCTAAATCCCTGAACCCTAAACCCCAAACCCCTGACACCCGAAACGACTTCGCAGAATCTCTGGGAAGCCCTGCGCGTAGCTCGTTGGCTTCCGCGACGGGAAGGACGTAGCCGTCCAAAGGTCGTCCTTCCGAGGGGGGTTTAGGGGTTTTGGGGTTTAGGGTTTTTTGGTTTAGGTTTTCGGTGTTACGATTAGGATTTCCTCCTTGGACCATAACCCGAGACCCTAAACCTTGAACCCTAAACCTAAACCCTAAACCCCTAAACCGGAAGCCGGGAAGGCAATCCCCAAAGAAAACTCAGCCTTTCTGGGTTTTTTTACTCCTTAGGGTTTAGGATTCAGGGTTTACGGTTAGTTACTCAGGACCTTGCGATAAGTGACTGCATTAGGAATCTACAGTAAACAATCGGGTTCCCTTGCTCTGGCAAGTTACAAGAGTTCCTTAACAAGAACACAGCTTTCGGATGCCCGAAATACCCCACAGAAATCACCCTGTCGAGCCTCAGCAGCCACATTCTCCGAAAAGAGGAAATCTGCGAAGGAGAGCCGCCGGTGGGCCATGGTGCTTCGCGATAAGAGCTCGTCTTCTTGTGCAATTTAGGAATGTGGATCCAGGGTACTGGTGATTACTAGTGCTGCTGCAACTTTTCCTACTATTACCAGCACCGGAAGCGACAGCAACAACAGCTCTATTTTGCGGCGTAAAGTTTGGTCTCGGAAGCTGCGTAGGGCGCCTTGGCTGTCTGGCTCGGGGCTAGTGTATGCAATGCGCGCCGGTAGACCTGGAATGCTGATGGAATCACCTTAAACCCGAAGCCCTGAACCCTAAACCCTAAACCCTAAACCCCTGTCATATAGGCTTGAGGGTGGCCGAGCCATTTGCACAAGCACCTCCACCCCAAGTCCGATGACCTGAAAAACCCAGAATCGCACTGAAATCCTAGATCCGATCCCATAGCAAATAGGGTTTAGGGTTTAGGGTTTTTTTTTTAAAAAAAATGCAGTAGCCCCCTTTGGGTTTAGGGTTTAGGGTTTAGGGTTTAGGGTTTAGGGTTTAGGGTTTAGGGTTCCCATAGCAAACGAAAGCCTTACCATGAGAGTCCCCAATGTCTATTCAATCCGCCAGCCCGTCTCCCTGGCACCTAGGAAGCAGGGTGTTTCAATGACTGCGTAAACGCCTGAGTCCTAGCTTAGCTGCAATTGGTGGTGCCTGGGAAAACATATCATACAATTTTGCACTAGGCACGCTCTTGACTTTGCATCGGATGAAACCGTCGTTGTCTGGAAAGACTGGGAGAGTGTTGTCAGGCGTGAGTCGCACAAAGCTGCCAAGAAAAAAGCGTTGATGTTGAGAAGGCTTCCCGATTCGACACCAGATTCCATCATGCTGCTAAGTTGTTCGTGTTCCCCTTATTCTGGGTTCGTGTTACGGAATTCAGTGCAAGCTACCATACGAAGGACGGACGACTTAAGCAGGGTGGCAGACTTCAGATCAGTAACAAACAGTACACTAGGCCTCCAATTATCTAAACCGAAAGTTACCAGTCACATATGAACTCTAACTGTACCTAAAGACCAGCCTTAATGCATAGCATGCTCCTTTAGATCTGCATAAGACGAACCATGACAACAACGAACTAGAAAAGTACCCAAAAGCCTTAAAGGCCGTGTCCTTTGAAATGAACCAACCGGCCCCCAGAGCAACTCAATTTGAAACGAAGCGCGCCCTATAAACCCAAAGACAGCAAACTCCAGACTTTAAGCCCTAAAAGTCTCAAACCGGCAACATGACTACTACAGGCGCCTTAATGACTAGAATGGGAGTTTTGAGGGATCTTCACGGGCTTCGATAACGGCTACCATAAGGGCTGCATGATTTATCGGCCTTACGATTTGCAGTGAGTTTAGGGGGTTCTTACGGTATCATTACGGAAGGTCGATACGAGGACATTATTTCACAGTTTCCCTGCTCATTCCGGCCCCTACATTAACGGCATCCGGGAAAGCAGGAAACTCCAACATGGCGGAAACAACTGGTTCTGAACGATCCCCGGGATCCTTAGTAAATCAAGGGTCTCATACGATCGAATTTAAACAAACCCATGCTCGGAGCTACTTGACCCTAAACTCTAACAGCCCTATATGCTGGGTTTGGCCGCTCGGCGAGCCACCGGCACCAGGAGCAGAAAGTCACAAAAAAACCCAGACTCCCAAAAACAACGTCCGCCAACGCAGTTGTCTCCAATTTGAGGGTGTAGTCGTTTAGGGTTTTGGCTTTTAGTCTGAGTCCAACTTCGCAGAAATTGCATACAGGATACATGGCAACCCCGACACATGTGACAAAGATAAAGCGTCACAGATCATAACAGCGACTCCCCGCAACTCCTCCACGACGGCTTCGAGGGGAGCCGTGACCGGGCTAGGAGACTTGGGCGTGAGCTCTTCCGCCTCGTCCTGTTCGCAGCATCTGGGGATTCAGGCCTTAGGAAAAGGGCTGTTATAGTTGGCAGAGTGGTAATTTTGGTGGTTTCTTATACCCCTAATACTAATCGGAACCCCAAAGAATGATAATTCTTCCGAGCCCTATATTATTAGGGTGGAAGAAGAAGCTTTCAGGTCTTTCGGGGAGTTGGTCCAAGCCCTAGAACAGACACCTGAGCGCCTTAAATCGTTAAGCCCTAAACCCTAAATTCAAGCCTAATCTAGGGCCTTCATATCAAAGAACCCTTCGGAATACTGTTGGCACTTAGCCGTAATTAGTCAGACCCCTATATTCCAAGGTTTTTGGGGCCCCGCTGAATTCGGGAATCTGTCTAAACCCTGAACCCTACTTTAACCGCCAAAACCCTGCCATGTTAAGGATTTATAACATAAAGACATCTTAACACGGAACCCAAAAAATTAGCTATTTTGGGGTCCAGGCGGTCCAGGTAAACCCTAAATGACTGAACACCCTAAACCCTAAAACCCCAAACCCTAAAACCCCTAAATCTAAAACCCCAAACCCCAAACAAAAAGTAAGCCCTAAACCCTAAACCCTAAACCCTAAACCCCAAACAAAAAGTAAGCCGGCAAGCCTCCTGGGCTGCGATGTCTTCCGACTCGCCTGCGGAGAGGTTAGGAGGGCCTGGTGGTTTGGGGCGTTAGGGTTTAGGGTTTCAGGTTTAGGCTTTAGGGTTTAGGGTTTAAGGTTTAGGGTTTAGGGTTTAAGGTTTAGGATTTAGGGTTTAGGGTCTTTAAGGCTCCGGGGACAGGGTTTAACTACCCTACTTCACACATCTACCTGCAAGCCGACACGCGGAGGTACAAGTGAAAACTCCTTGGGAGTTGCCGCCATACAGGCTCTCTCTTCGATCAGGATCTCCTCATTGAGTAGGTAATACATATGCGTCCCTGCCTTCTGTGCTGCAGCCGGCTCACGAAGAGGCACGACTTACATAAACCCTAAACCCGAAACCCTAACCCCTAAACCCTGAACCTTAAACCCTAAACCCTAAAGACTAAAGCACCGCGGTCTTGGGCTTCAGTTACGTTTCCAGTAGGAGGGCGGCATCCTCAAGGCTTTGCCTTTGGCTCCACTGACACGTAGCATGTCGCAGCTCCTCTCCGGCAGCCCTAAACCCTAAACCCCCACACCCAAAACCCAAAACCTAAAACCCCAAAACCCCTAAACCCCTAAACCACTAAACCCCCAAACCCCTAAACCCAAGACCCTAAACCCCAAAATCACAAAACCACTAAACCCAAGACCCTAAACCCCTAAACCCCAAAATCCCAAAAACCCTAAACCCCCTAAACCCCTAAACATGAGCCGCCAAGGCCGGGTGCAAGCATCCAGGCTCCTGCAGACGCAGACCGGAACGCTGCATTCACAAAAACTTTTAGGGGGTTTAGGGTTTAGGGTTTAGGGGTTTAGGGTTAACCCTAAGCCATGGCGAACAAAAAACAAGCGTGTACATATATGCTTGCTGGTTTAGGGTTTGGGGCTTGGGGTTAGGGTGTGGGGTTAGGGTGTACTTGTGTGCTCAATGCATAAGATGAAAGGTCTAACAGGCAGCATAGGCTTTAGAATGTAGAAGATCAGGAAATGATTCAGGAAGTGTCTGTATTCCCAATGTCATGTACAAGCAGGCTCAAGGGGAGGCGGAGGGCAGACGTATCTCCCAGGCGCGGTCCTTTCCGCAGCAACTTTCAGATCGAAATCCTGCTGCTACTACCCCCTGCTTATGTCTGTTCTGGGCTCTGGACTGAGAGTCTGCCAATCTCAAGAACGAACACCCCGACACCCCTGACACACCAAAGCAAGCACGAAAGCCCTAAACCCACAAAGCCTATGGTAGAAGCCCAAAAGTTGGAAACCCAATAGCCTCAATCCTTAAGAGTAATGCATAGGGAATCCCAGCACTAATTGTCCCTAATCCGGTTTCCAGCTCTTTACCGTAAACCCTAAACCCTAAACCCTTAAACCCTTAAACCCTAAGCCTGTCCTTGGGGTTTACTTTGAAGCCCGGACCCCCTTGGAGCGCACCGTCGCTCGGCATCTTTGTCGGAACCACCGGCTTCCGTATAGGCGGGATGAGCCTGGACGCAGCTTCGGTTTGGAGTTTGGAGGTCTGGAGATTGGCAGAAATTACGAGTTTCGAGGTGCTGTGCAGTGTCTGGATCTACTTTCGGGCGTTTTAGGGCTCAGTTACCAAAATTATTGGACATGGGGTAGTTATATTGTATACCCCTAGTTTGTCGTGGAAATGCGTAGGAGTCCCTGCTTCGAGAATCGCGGACTTGACGCATAGCATTCCAGGTGTACGTATAGGTTCAGGGGACTTGGTAGGTGAGCTTCTATAACCCTACAAGGGTCCATGTACCCAAACAGTATATACTTTGGCCCTAGAGTACTCCGTATATAGGTACTTTGGGGCCAAAGTATATACTATTTGGGTAGATGGACCCTTAGGGTATAAGTGTGTCTATACAGGGTCTGTAAGGTTTCTATGATGGTTCGCCCGGGATATTATGGTTATGAGTACCGACATTGGGTCATAAACGGTTTTATCTATACTGGCCTTGCTTATAAGCCTATAGTTACTAGGTCCCATGACCGTCTACGTAGAATTTCAAACACAGGTTTTGAACATGGGCATAGTTTAGGGCACTGTAGAGTTAATTAAAGGATTTAGGAATGCACCCGGTACTTCCTTGTACACCGAGTACTTTCAACCATGAATCTTGCTTGCTATCTGTCTAGATATTGCTTCTCTCGTTCATGGCTGACTTCTGAACCCCTCCTAAAAGTTAAACCTTTAGCCTTCTTATTGTAGTTCATATAGGAACCCAAAAAGTTAAAGTCCTGAGAGCCAACCAGAAGAACGCCAAGGTTTCTTTCTTCGGCGGAGAAGTAAGGCCGATAAACAAGAAAGCCTTAAACCTAAATCCTAAACCCTAAACCCCTAAACCCTAAACCCTGAACCCCTAACCCCTATAAACCCTAAACCCGAAACCCTAAACCCTAAGCCGTAAACCTCCAAAGCTCAGAGCTTAAAATCTGTTCCCCGTCATGCCTGACGCTACATCCCTCGTACCATGTAGTGATTTTGATCATTTGAATAGGGCTTTGGGGCGGGGGTTCCCTATTATGAATACGGTATAATATACCCCAAAACCCATTCTGATAGGGATTTTCATCATTTGAGTAGGTTTCTTGGGGGGTTCCTTACTATGAATAATGGTATAATATACCCCCCAAAACCCTATTCTGATTATTGAAGCCCCTTGTATTCGCCTACACCCCCGCCCTCCAGAGAACTCACGTCCACCCCGATACTTCTCATTCCTCCACATCCCTGAACCTTCACCCTAAACCCTAAACCCCCAAACAAACCCAAACCCCTAAACCCCTAAACCCCAAAACCCTAAAACCTTAACCCTAAACCCCAAACCATCAGCCGCTTAAGGTTCAGACCTCATATTTTTGTTCCCGAGCCTTCGGTCCTCCAAACTGCTCCAGGGCACCGCTGTCGAGGCCTGCGAAGGGGTCAGGCTTTGTACTTCCTATTCCTCTTTATCTAAACATATACAGACATACTGTCCACACATTTATTCATACATGCATACATACATATGTACATACATACATACATACATCCATACATCCATACACACATACATGCATACATACATATACAGACTGTATGTATGCATGCATGCATGTATGTCAAACAACTCTGGCACCACGAACTCGAAGCGCGTAAATTCGAAACCTAAAAACTACATAATCGCGGTAAATCATGGTAGATGCCCCCAATTTCTCGGGCATCGTCGCCGAACACATGTGGATGGGCGGTGCGACCCTCGTACCACCAGTGTCATTGCAACATGATCCGAGAAGTTCCACGAGCAGCCGAGCTCGTTTTATTCATCTGTTCCTGTGAGACTGCAAGCTCGACTTGGTACGGAAGCCAAACGCTCTCATTACTTACAATACGACCTGCATTGAGCTTTCTCAAAGCCTTTGGGCAGCTCAAAGCCTTTGGGCAGCTGAAGCACGACACCAGTCAACTGTCAGGCTGATGCCAAGAATTTTGGGACATGTCTCCATCCTCACACCCAAAACCTTAAACCCAAAACCCTAAATCCTAATGACCCTGACGTCCATTGAAAACGCTGCAAACGACCTGCTGTAACGAGAACTTACGTCGTACGTTGAACAACTATAAAACGAATAGGCATACGTTGGCGAGTGCAAACACAAATGGACTTCTAAAGTTGGAAACTCTACAACAGACCAGCACAAACCAAACGACCTCTACACAAACCACAGATAGATTCCTCATGTGGGAGTTTCCGAAAATTAGGGTACCTTATCTTCGGGCCCTTATAATCAGGATCCTACTATTTAGGGTACTATATTAGGGTCCCCTATTTTCGGAAACCCCCATGTGTAAAAACCCACTAGACTAAACCCTGTGCAGCTGACCTGGCCGTTCTTCTGCAGCGTCGTCGGCAGCCGTCGGGACCACGAGGATCTGAGCAGAAGGTTGGGATAAGCAGGGGCCTCACAACCCGATGTAAATCCCAAACCGTAAAACCCCAGGGGTTTGGGATGTGCAACGGTGTGAATATGGTTTGATAAGGGCATTGAAACCATCGAGTTTGACAGGTGTTTTATAGCATCTTCTCAGGTTGTTTAACGGTGTTGTGTGATTGAAGGATTTAAACAAGCTGCACAAGGGCTGCGGTTTACAAGGGTTTGACAGGGCTTCATGATGACGTTGAACGAAAGTCTTCAAGAGTATTGTTGGGTTTGGGACATGAAATACGTAAGTGGATATGAAATGCCTTAGGTTGACCATGAGGGAACCCAGATAGGATGGCGTTGTCAATCTTCCCAGCGGTCTCTTGCGCTTGCGTAGTTACGGCGTAGTTCCAAATGGAACGTTCACCACCGGCATGTTGTGCTTCTTAACAGCCGGATCATCCCCGGCGGTGACGCGATGAGTTTAATCTTGGCAGAGCCACCAGGCCGACCCGTGGCGTCATGTAACAGGATGGGAACGTCACTGCCGTCCTTTGTCCACTCATGCGGACCAACCCGAGCGATCTTTTCTCTCAGATCGGGCGGTAAGCAGTGCGCCGAAGTAAGCACAGAGTGCGGGGCCACGCCCATGTGAGTAGCCGTCTCCTGAAGATTCAGTCCGGCGCGAAAGCTAGCGCGGATACAAGCTGCCACCTGAATGAGCAGTTCATCATTCACTTCTAACCAGGGGACCATACAATAAGAAGGGCAGAGGAGTACTACTCAGGAACCTAATATTGAACCTAAGCCTAAACCCCAAACCCTAAACCCCTAATGTCGGGTTTACGTATCGGGGTCTAGGCTAGGGAGGCCTGACTACGGAGTCTATGCCCAAAAGGACCAGCTCTGAAAGCCAGGTATCTGAGTTTAAAGTTTAAGGTTTAGGGTTTAGGGTTTAAGGGTTTAGGGTTTAGGGTTTAGGGTTTAGGGTTTAGGGTTTAGGGTTTAGGTATCTACCCTCAGGCAGTCCTCAGCCCCAGCCCCGAATGTCTTTGGATTTGGGCGCACCCGGCATCCCGAACAAATCAGCCCTCAAGCCTAAACCCTAAACCCCTAAACCCCAAATCCTCA